GGTGTATCTTGCTCTGGTTTTAATCAGTCCGTCTAAAGACAGCCTTCGAGTAAGGGAGCTGCAGAAAGCGACCTCAGAGTGCAGTTCTTTGTTGCTTTCCCCAAAGTTTCTCTTACCAAAGGCTTCTACTCATGAACATTTATCCAGTTTAAATCATTGGTCCCCAAACTACAAACTAAACTAAAATCAATAAACCATCAACCAGCACATAGGACATTTCTGTTTTTGTAAAAACAAAACCATGTATTTGTAAAAATTAAATTTCCAGGGAATGAAGAAAACCTGGATTAAAGAAATTGAAACCAGTAGTAAGGATACAACGAAGCCACACCACCAAAGCTGTGTACTTTACAACAATGGCTGATCAGTCTAGACTGAGTTTGTCCTCCAGCTCTAAAACACAAAACACAGAGTGCCAGGGAGCTTTAGAAGATCATCACCACCAAAAATATGTGACACATCACACAGAGGTTCCCTGCATAGTAAGCCAAAGAATCAAAAAGCCATACATCAAGAAGGACATAAATACAAGGTTGTTTTTTTTTCCAACCCTTTTCAAAGGGCTTTTTTTGAGAAGCACAAAAGAAGTAAATTCACCTAAAATCTCAACCATAAATACATAAGACATGCTGAGATCACATAATTCTGCCCTAGAGTTACAAATGCCCTAGTATAGAATGGAGTTTAACTTGTGTCAATTATGCTGTTTCACACTCTAATTCCGTCACTCAAAAGAATGAAATAATGCATAAAACACAAACACACACACACAGTAGGGAGAAAAGAAACTACTTACTTTTCTTCTTAAAAAGTTTAATTAAAGACTTGATCTTTGCATTAATGAAGACCACCATTTCCAGAATGCCTACATAGGACTTAGAAATTTAAATCGCATTAAAAACTCAGTCCAGCAGGCAGGTGGAAAGCTGTATCCTTCTGCTCCGGATTCTAACTTGGCTTCTAACTTCTTCCTCTGTTCTCAAATCATTAGACATCTGCCCGGGATGATGTAACTTGGAGGTTGAGCTTATTGTCAGGTAGTTACAAACTATTAACAGTCCTTGAACCTGAAAATCTCCCACTGAAACCTAATCTTTAAGGCTGAGAGCCACCAGTGACAACATGTGCAGAAAGAGAAAGCCAATCACGGTTCTTATTTGCATGATAGCCACATCAGTCTTTCCGCCTCAGGGCTCATTTATTCAGTTTTCTCTCCAACAGATCAGAAGTTTCTCCTCTCTGGAGTCCATAGATTTCCTCTACGGAGTCAAGGTGAAGCAAACGTGTTCCCCATTCTCACCAGGCCACAATGAACGTCCATATCTTTTTACGGGAGCCAACAAGTCTTAAAGCGAGTCTATTGGTTCTCTTTGAGTCTCCAGTTAATTCAAGCACTGGAACTGATTTAGTGAGGAAAAAAAAAGGCCAAACTATTGTTTCCCCAACCACGCCCCCAGGCTCTGCCTCCCACACCAAAGGAACGTTTATAAGCAGTAAAACTTTACAATAGAACGAGTCTCCAAGGAGCTGTGATGACTTCCTTGCTTTTTTGTGCAAATTAGTTCTCCATGTCTTCTCACCCAGTTTCTTTCTTTCTTTTTTTTTTTTTGCCAATGATTGAGAACCAGAATTGTAATTGTTCCAAAGTGTGATCTTATTTGCATCTAGTTGTCACAACTTCCCCAACACCTCAAAGCCTGCTAACTTCCCTATTTCAAGGAAGAAATTAAATCTGTATTTTAAATTTATCATCTAAATACCCAGGATAAAAAATTCCGCCACCTTCCCCTCTCCCACTCCTGCTAATTGTTTCTCTTTAACGTGAATATTACACTGTATTGAGTTTTGGTTCTTTTGTTCATTCGCAATTAACCTCAGAGAATCGGGGAAACACATACAGAGAGAGAAGAATCAGAAATGGGGTATAAGCTGGTACTAGAAAAACATATTCCGGGGTAAAGGAACAGGGAACAAAAAGGAAAAGAATACAGATCAGTTAATAGTATAAAGAAGGACAAAGGAAAAGAATGTTCCCTGCCTCTTCCCAATTCCATTTCATGGCAAAACGGTTTTTGAAACACATTAGACAACCTCTTATTTCGTAGTTTTGAGCCAGACTTATAACTGAATGGAAAAATGTAATAACCCACTAATTCAAAACATTTAGTTTATAACAAAAGCTTTTAGTCAAAGAATAAAATTTATAGAAGAGGCTCCCTCCAGGGAAAGCTTTGGAATGATTCCTTCTAAAATCTCCCCCACCACACACACCCCAATAATCTTTTTTTTTTGAACAACAAAAGCAAACAAAAAAAATAAAACACATATTATCATGTTAACATACATATTATCACAGATTTCCAATTTGCGTTCTTTTATCCTATACATAGCTTTACTTAAAAGTAATTATATGGCCAGATGGCAAATAACAAATGACTGAGGTTGTAAGTTAAATGATATAGCTGTCTCTAATTAGTGAGCAAAGTTCCCTCCAGGAAAACAAATTTATAAGCAAGAGTGACCTCTCTCTGCTTCCAGAGGTGCAGGTAGTAGCATGTTCTGGACAGAAGCACTCCTATTCAAAATCTACAAGTTTCTAAAGTTAAATGTCACCATGCCACACCTGCATATGAAAACAGCATGTAGCTTTTCATGTATACAAGAATGGGATCCAAACATTGATTCATTCATTAAAAAGGTAAATTCTGAGCACATGCATGCTAAGCGCCACTCATTTGGGATACATCAGTGAGGTCCCTGCCCTCATGGAGCTTACATTATTTAACAATAAACTACAATTCTATGGTGTATTAGAAGGTTATAAGTACAACGGACAAAAGAAAATGCTGAATAAGAAGAAGGGTTATGGGAGTGGGAGGTGCACTTATAACCTAGTGCTCAGTTTGCACATTCAACAGAAAATACATAAACCCACGGTACTTCCTATTTGCCATAATAGCAGCAACAGTGTTT